GTACGTGTATATAATATTTCGCTTCTATATTTACACACCTTTATACACAGTTCTATATATATTTATATATATTGTTTTTTTGGCTTAATTAATTTTGTTCCTGTTTTGCAGCCATTTGTACCAATTGTTCCAAATTTCATAATATTCCGACTCTTCTTTAACTTTTAATTTCACTGTTAATTTGTCCATCTCTGCACAATCCAAAGTTTTTTTTTATCATTAATTCGTCCGAGGGGGTATTATTTTGCCCAATGCTGGAAACAAAATAATACACACGCACACACACACACCGTGACGAATTAGTGATAAAAAAAACCTTTGGATTGTGTAGAGATGGACAAATTAACAGTGAAATTAAAAGATAAAGAAGAGTCGGAATATTATGAAATTTGGAACAATTGGTACAAATGGCTGCAAAATAGGAACAAAATTAATTAAGCCAAAAAAACAATATATATAAATATATATATAGAACTGTGTATAAAGTGTGTAAATATAGAAGAGAAATATTATATGCATGTACAGGTATGATGACATAACAATGACTGTAAGGTGTTGTAGAAGGGAAAAAATAATTTAAAAATCTGCTAAAATAATAATAATAATAATAAAAAAAACATTTGGCCTGGCAAGAGCGAAGGTGGCCATCGGATGTTTCTACTGATGGCCAAAGGGGGGGGGGGGTTGCCTCAAATTTTTTGGTACAAGCAGTCCTGACTCATGGCCGCAATTGAGAATTTATGTTGCTAAGGGAAACATTGGTTAAGTGAGTGGTGCCCCATTTTACAACCTTTCTCACTACATTTGTTAAGTGAATCACTGCAGTCGTTAAATTAATAACATGGTTGTTAAGTGAATCTGGCTGCCCCAGGGACTTTGCTGGTCAGACGGTCGCAAAAATGAGATCAAGTGACCCCGGGACCGTCATAAATGTGAACCGGTTGTGAAAGGTGTGAAAAAATGGTCATAAGTCACTTTTTTTTCAGTACCGTAACATCAAACGGTCACTCAAGGAATTGTTGTAAGTTGAGTCTCCCGGTGGTGTTTCCAGAGATCATCCATACTGACCCCGGCCATGAGGGATTCTGCCAAGCCCTGGTGCCCTACGCCCGCTCCAGCTGTGCCAGGCAGAGGAGCAAAGGCTGAAAACACGGAGAGCCGGTGGGAGGATGGGGAGGGTCTCGGGAGGCGTGTAGGGGGGGGGGTGTATGTCACTGGAGGACCTCAGCCCTTCGGGGACTCCCTTCTGCCAGGCTCAGGGTCTGGGCATGGGGCTTTCCTGGGCAGAAGCAGTCGGAGGGGAAGCGGGCATCCCTTGATGGGTGCAGGGCCTGGCCGTGGGGCCTGGGGATGCGGGGGGGGGGAAGCTGCACCAAGGGGAGGGAGCTTTGTCCTCAGCCAGCCTGTCTCTCCCCCTCCCCCTTTCCTGCAGCAGACTCGGTGGTCGACGTCCTGACGGTGCTACAGCTGCAGAAGGAGCCCGAGGGAGTCCGCAAAACACCAGGCTTCTGCCTTCAGAAGCGCTTGGGCTCCGGACCAGACGCGGCTTTCCGGATATCCAGACGGGCCCAGATCAGTGCCCCAACACGGCAGCTCTTCCCAGGTATCCCCCCTCCCCAAGGCTGCAGGTGTGGGAGGGATTTTCACCCAAGCCCAGAAAAGGCGATTAACTGGATAAACAGGGATACAGGAATCCCCCAACTGGCTGCCACATCATTAGCGCAGGAAGGAAAGCCTCACCTGGTGAGCTTCGGCCTGCAGCGCTGTCCAGGGTGGCCGTCCCTTTTCCCCAACCAGCCTTGGGAACCCCGGCATCAGGAAGGGGCAGCTGACATCTCCCCCTCCCGCCCAGCCACGCATCCTGCCTGCAGCCAAGCCCCCTTCACAGCTCTTTCCCCCCTCCCCAGGTGAGTTCCCCGAGGACTTCTCCGTGATGGCGCTGCTGAAGGCCAAGCCGGGCCGTCCCGTCTTCCTGCTCTCCGTCTACGATCACCACGGCGTGCAGCAGCTGGGTCTTGAGCTCGGCCGCTCCCTACGGTTCTTCTACCGTGACCAGAACGGCCACCCGGCCCCTGAGGACTACCCAGTCTTCCGCGGGGCCAACCTGACCGACGGCAGGTGAGTCCCCTTTGCCATAGGGGCAGCCCAGTCACCCCCGCTGCCCCGGCTTTGGCGGGGGGGGTTCCTCTCAGGAAGAGACCCTGCGGGCGAGTGATGGCCATGGAAGGCGAGACACAACATCCAGTGGTTGTGGCAGCGAATCCCGTCTCTCCCAGGGAGGGAGGGGTCGTTAGAGGGGGACGTTGCCTTCCGTGGCTGGAAAGCTGTCCTTGGGTCACAGAACAGCCTGTGGGACCCCAGAAGGCAGCTTCTGTTGGGGGCCACTGCGACAGAGAAATAGGGAGTCTCCTTCCTTGCCCATCAGCCTCCTCTATCCCCCAGCTGGCTCAAGGCAGTCGAGTAGTCTTGCCTGTAGTGGAAGTGGGGTCCCCTCCCCCTTTTTTAGATGCTCCAAGTGGAGACTGGAGACCCTCACTCGGTGGGTCTTGACTTTGGCTTCGTGCTTGGACCAGGAGGTAGACTGCATGGTCTCACGGAGCCCTCTGGCTTTGGGATTCCGCAGCTCATGTTCCTGGGCTGCTAGAGGCCCCGGGGTCTTCCTCACACTGCCGAGGAGCGTTCGGTCCTGGGGTTCCCCCTCCCCCCAGGGCCCTTTGGCTCCGGCTGAGTTGGCAAAACCAGAACTGGGGACAGGGAAGAAAATTTGGTGTCCTTTTTTCCACTGCAGATGAAGGCTGCCTTCTGGCACACCTGGGCTTTTAACTCTTCCTTAGATTTCTGATCTTGGGGTGGGTGGGTGTCAGAGGAGGGGCAGGGGGAAGAGAGACAGGAGCCAAAGCAGGGAGTTTTTAACTTCTGGGCCTGGGACCCACAGGGAGGAAGGAGGGGGGAGGCTGCCAGAGGCTCCGGCCCCAAACACCCACCCAGAAGGCCAGTAGATCTTTACCTGGCACTGCAGAGGTGGACAGATCAGTTGGCGCCTGGCAGGCTGGGTGCCAGGCGCCGTTCTGCCAGCCCTTCCCTGGATGCCCGGCTCAGCCTTCCGGTGCCCGTGTGGCCTGCGGGGGCTGAGGAGGGGCCTGCCTTACCCCTGCAGGTGGCATCGGGTGGCATTCAGTGTGAAGAAGAAGCAGGTGACGCTATTCCTGGACTGCAAGAAGAAGGCCACCATGCCCCTCCCCCGGGGGAACAAGCCCCTGTTGGACACCAAGGGCATCACCATCTTCGGGGCCCGGATCCTGGACGAGGGGGTCTTCGAGGTAGGGAGCCTCACCCACCCCTCCTTCCTGCCTCCCTCCCCTGTTGGGGGTCTTAGCCCCACCTCACCCCCCCTGTGCCCCTTCTTCTCCCCCAGGGAGACATCCAGCAGCTGCGGATCAGCTCCAACCCCCAGGCCGCCCACAGTTACTGCCCGGACTGCGGGGGCCCATCACAGAAGCCCCAAGCCCAGGAAGCTCAGCAGAGGCCCCCCAGGCCTGAGGTGAGGAGAGGGACAAGCTGTGTGTGTGTGTGGAGGGGTGTCTTCTTTCGCTGGCGTTTGGCACTCAAGGTGAAAAGGAGGTTTTGTGGGAAGGGAAACGGCCTGGCGCAGATCCTGGCGCCCCAGAAACAATCGCCCCAATTTTAATAAGAGGGGAAGGGAGAAAAGGGGGCGCAGGCTGGGCTCTTCTGAACAGGGAAAAGACACCTGGGCTCCATGCCACAGTTGAATGCCCACGGGAGCTGCCGCGGCACAGAGTCAGTCAGGGTGCTGAGCGGTTTTAAAATTTGATCAATTAATAAATAAATGCATTTTTGTCGAAACTGAACCCCGGATGAAGCCTCCAGCTGGACTGCGAAATAAAGAGAGTTTCGAACTCAGGGTTCATGGAATTTTCATTGGAGGGTCCTTTTGAGGCCATCTAGACTGAACCCCCACCCCCAGAGCACGAGACTCCCCAAGTAGACGGTGGCGTGGGAAGGAGACCTGTCGTTGGATATCCTGCCCAAGAGGCCTCGGCCTGAATCTGCTTCCTGCACGCGGGTCTCGTCGTGGGAACAAGGAAGTCCCGTCTTGCTTATGAGTCAAACCATCCCCTCCCCCACCTACACTGGCTTCCCTTCTTGACCCCCCTGAGCCCTTCTTTCTGTGGGCGTGGCTTGGTGGGAGAGGATACTGCAAAATCCCCATTCCCTCCTGAGCAGCTGGGACTCGGGAGGCAGAGACTAGATGGGGGCGCGGCCAGCCAGAGGTGGTGTTTACCGGTTCTTCGAACTACTCAAACTTTCCGCTACCAGAACCTGTCAGAACTGGCTGAATTTCACCCCTGGACCTGATCAAAGATGGCGGTGGATTTCTCAGTGCAGGATCTCCAAGGGATAAATAAACAACTTCAATAAATCCGGGAGAAGTTTTGACCTCTGAGAAGGAACTTCCGGAATTTCTTTTGGCAACTTTCTCGGCCGGTTGGGGAAGACGGAGGAGGATCTCCTTCAGCAACCGTTCATCGCTTCGTTATTAACAGATTTATATAGCCATCCGTCTCACAAATCTGACACAGATAAGTCCTCAACGTACAACAGTTCCTTAGTGGCCGTTCAAAGTTACAACCGCACTGAAAATATTGACATGACCATTTTTCAAACTTGCGACCATGGCAGCAGCCTGACTCGTATTTATGATGGTCAGAGTATCCCCGACCCACTTTTGCGACCTTCCCACAAGCAGATTCAACGAGGAAGCCAGATTCACTTAACGACCGTCTTGCTAACTGAACCACTGCAGTGATTCACTTAACAACTGCGGCAAGGAAGGTTGTAAAATCGGGCAAAATGAACCAAAGGACAACTTACCAACAAAAAAGTTTGGGCTTAAACATGGTCGTGAGGTCTACCTGGAGTAAACAGCCAGAGCAGTTAAAACAATAATTAATAACAGGCATAGTTGCCAATTAAAATTAATATAAAACTGGGAGAATGGCCCAGCATTTTATGTACAGATGGTCCTCATCTTATGACCAAAGCCGGGACCGAAATTTCCCATTGCTAAATAAGTGTGTTGTAAGTCGAATATTAGCTGTACAGCATAGCCCTCTCCCCTCTTTCTCTGGGACCCCTAGAACTGGTGGGACAACCAAGTTTTGGGGGATTTCATAGATGCTGATAGGGTGGGGCTAATTTACCTACTTGGGCGCGGGGGGGGGTTAGGTTTATTTTTAAACAAACCTTTTTAACATGATACCTGGGAAGGGACCTTGGAGGTCTTCCAGTCCAGCCCATTGCACCTATCCCATTTCAGATAATTGGTCGTCCGACCTCTTCTTAAAAACCTCTTAGTAATTTTTTTTTGTTTTTTGCCTTTTGCAACTCATCTTTTTCAACTCACTAAGTGGCCAAACTTGAATCTTCTCTGACGGTAGAGACACCCCCCTCCCCCCACTACAAAAGGGAAGAGGTGCACCCACCAACAAGGAAGTTTCTGCCATTTAAACCCTCGTTGCTGGGACGGATGAAGGGAACTTCGCTTCAAACCTTGCAAAAAATAATAATCTCATTTTTGTCCCTGAAAGTTTCGTGAGAGGCTGTAATGGATCTTCTCCCCAGGGCTCAATGGGGGGTGGGGGGAGGGCTCCTTCTCCCCCCCCTCCCAACAGGAGCCCATTGTGGACTGTTCTCCTCTGTGGGGCCGACCGCAGAGCTGGGCCTTTTGAAGTCCGGCCAGGACTCATCCTGCCAAGCCACTCAATTCAGATTACATTGAAAAAAATTTGGACTTCTGCGCCTGGATTCTCCTCAGCAGGATATTTAAAAAAAAACAAAACCTTGAGACTCTAGAGAGAGTAGACGTAGTCCTCGGCTTAAGACCACAACTGAGGCCAACATTTCCATTGTTAAGCGAGACATTCCAGCGCATTTTGCCTCATTTTATGAACTTTCTCATCACGGTCGTTAAGTGAATCGTTGGAGTGGATAAGTTAGTAGCCCAGTCGTTAGCCAAATCTGGCTTCCCCGTTGACTTGACTTACCAGAAGGGGAATCACACCGCCCCGGGATGTTACGACCGTCATAAAACACAGTTGCTAAAACGTCCGAATTTTGATTGACTGTTCGTGGTGATGCTGGGAAGGTCGCAACTGTGAAAAACTGGTCACAAGTCGCTTTTTTCAGTGCTGTTGTAACTTTTGAGCCGTCACTAAACGGACTGTCGTAAGTCGAGGACTACCTGTACAGAGAGGAGCGACAAAAAACAATTAGGGGGCTGGGGGCCAAAAGGGACGATGGAGGGTCGCAGGAAGGGGGCCTGGCCGGTCCAGGGAAGAGGAGCACCAGGGGAGGCATCACTTGAGGGAGGGGCTGCCCCAGAGAGGAGGAGGAGGAGGAGGAGGGTCCATTCGCTCCCCACAGCACTGAAGGGGGGAAGAGGAAGCGATGGGGGGGAGCTCCTCAGAGGGGGGCCTGGGGCCCAGTGTGGGTCTCTCCTGGGGAGGGGGTGTCTCGGGGGGGTGGGGGGCTCCTTGGCTCTGCTTTCTGCTTCCTCCGGCCACCTTCCCCCATCGCTGCCTCTGTGGTCTCCACTAGACGCCCCCCAAGACGAAGCCCCCCACTCAGGCCAAGCAGCCCCAGAAGCGCCAGCTGCCCGGCCCCTCGCCCACCGCCCCCAAGACGGACGCCCCAGAAGGGAAGCGGCCCAGCGGCCACAAGGAATCCCGCGACGGGAAACCACTCAGCAACGGAAAGGCCTCAACCGCCGGAAAAACCCCCAAGGCCACCAGCCCCAGTGCCAAGGCAGCCTCGGCCGGCAAGAAGGCAGGGGGCCCGGCCCAGGCAGCCCGGGGCCCACGAAGCAGCTACCAACAGGTAGAGCCAGAGGGCGGGGCTGGGGTCGGCATGGGGGAGGGGGGAGAGGGGAGCCCCGAGAAGGAGAAACACCCCCTTGGGCTGGCCTGGAGTGCAGGGGGAGGGGGCCCCAGCTGCTCCAGCCCCCCCCCTCCAGCTGCAGCTGAAGCCTCCAGTGGATACTGGAATCCGTTGGCTCCTTTGGGCTTAAATGTTCCCCGTTGCAGAGTTGGGCCCCAGAGCCCCACGGGGACATTGGCAGTAACTGACTAATCCTCCCTTCCTCTCTCGCTTCTTCCCTCTCTGAACTCTCCGCCTGCCCTTCGTTTCTCTGGTTTCACCTCCCTCCCTCCCAGGACACCGGCCCCCTTCCCACTGGGCAGCCCCTGGGGGCTCGCCAGCACCCCAGCCGCCCCCCACCTCCTGAGGCCACCTCCCAGCAGAGGGTCCCCGCACGGGAGGCCTCACCGCCTGCCCTCTCGCTGCCCCGGGTGGAGGTAAATGTCGCCGGGCTGGTGCAGAGGGACTCGGCCCGGGGGGGCAGGAGGGATGGGGCGAGGGGCAATTCCCTTGCTGGTGGGGAAAGCTGCCCCTCCGGTGGGTGCCGGGTAGGGGCTCGGGTGCCACGGGGTGCTTGCGGCAGATCCCCTCCCTCTCCTGGGCTAAATTCCCCCTGGGGTTCCCTTCCTGCCTGGCCCAGGAGGAGGCGGCTGACGAGGAGGAGGGTCTGGACTATGGAAACGGCGATCCTAACCCCGGCGAGATGGGCCCCCTGCTCTCAGCCCAGGCCCCCTACGAAGCCGTCGTAAGTGGGAGCCTCCCTTGTGCCCTGTGTCACTGTCTCCGTCCGTCCGTCCGTCTGTCCTGGTGCCATGATTCAAGCTGGGCTGCAGGCTGGCTTTTTTTGGGGGGTGGGATTTTCCCTTCTTTTGCGGGTCTTTCGCTGAACCACGTGTGTCGTTTTGGGCATGTCAGTGTTTCCCGTGTGTCCCCGTGTCCTGTTCTGGTGGCGGCTGCGGATTTCCTTCTAGTTTATATGGGTCCTTCTGTGTTGTCTTCCTCCTGCCTTTTCCACCACCCACCACTGGGTGGCAGAAGCAGCACCTCCTACCCCCCTTGCCTTATTTTGCCATGCTCTGAGCCCCTCTCTAGGCTTCCCCCTCTGTGGTTTGACCTGCTCTGGCTTCTCCTGCACTTGCTCCTCGGCGCCTCATTTGCATGGCTGGGTCTCCTGTCTCTCCTTCCTGTTATGTCCTGTGACATCATCACCCCTTTTGATGATGTCACTTCTTAGGAAGTTATATCTGGTGACATCACTGTTGATGATGTCCGTTCCTATGAAGTTACATCCTGTCCCATCCCCACCTTTTGATGATGTCACTTCCTAAGAAGTATACACANGCCCTGCCCCCGTGATGCAGCCAGGGTTGCTTGAGGTCATCCAGCCGACCCTCCCTTGCCCAGAATCTGCTTTTCCTGCAGTTGTGGCCGATGGGCTTCATGCCCTGAAGAGAGGGGAGGCATTTGGGGGGGGTCCCCTCTTTTGCAACCCAGCCTCTTCTTGGGGTACCCCCTCTTCCCCAGAGGAGGGGATCTGGGTGCTTTCATGTGGGATGCCCCGTTTCCCCCGCCCCCCCCTTGCTGGGAACCGACCCCTCTGTGAATCACCTTGATGGGCACCCCTGGAGCTCAGCCGAAGCTCCCCTACTCTGAGCCCTTCCCTTCTGCCAGCCACCCCCATCCGAGGGGGCAGCGGGAGGGGGTGTCTCAGTGGAGCAGGGGGAGGGGTCAGTCCGAAGCCCCCTCCTTGAGCGTCTCCTTTTTCTTCTGCTCTCAATTCTGACTCTGAGCTGGCAGGTTGGGTCCGGGGGTCCTGGGGGGGGGCTGTTTTGGTGTCCCCCTTTTCCCTCCCTCCTTGCTGAACGCTGCCCCCTTCCTGTAGGGCGAAGAAGGCTTCCCGGGCATCAAGGGAGATGTGGGGCCGAAAGGCGACAGGGTAAGTCCACCCACGGGGAGAGGGGGGGGGGGGGGGGGGGGGGGGGGGCACCTGGGCAGCCCCTCGTGCGACCGTCTGCCTTCTCTGCGCAGGGTGAGTTGGGGGTCCCAGGGTCCCGTGGAGAAGACGGACCCGAAGGCTCCAAGGGGCGGACGGGACCCCCTGGAGACCCCGGCCCTTCCGGACTGGTGGGAGAGAAGGTGCGTAACGGGACGGGGGGAGGGGGGGCTTCGGAGTCGGACCTCCCCCACCACCACTGCTGACCCTCTTCCTTCCCCTCCTGGCAGGGCAAACTTGGGGTGCCGGGACTCCCCGGATATCCCGGCCGACAAGGCCTCAAGGTGAGTGGGAGCCGGAGCGGAGCGGGAGAACGGGGGGTGGGTGGAAGGGAGAACTGGGGGTCCCCGTTGGGGGGTCGAAGTAGCCGAGTGAGCTGGAGGGGGGGGCTGGTCCCCCAATGGCCCCCCTCCCCCTCCTTTGTGACCCTCCCCTTCCCCCCACAGGGCTCCCAAGGTTTCCCCGGCTTTCCCGGGTCGGGCGGAGAGAAGGGGCTTCGGGTAAGTAGCACCCCTTCTTTTTTGGGGGGGGGGCTCCTGGGCCACTCGGAGGCCTGGAAGGGCCCTCAAGGGAGCCNCTAAGGAGAAATTTCCTGACAGTTAGAAGAATTAATCAGTGGAACAATTTGCCTCCAGAAGTTGTGAATTCTCCAACACTGGAAGTTTTTAAAGAAGATGCTGGATAACCATTTGTCTGAAGTGGTGTAAGGTTTCCTACCTAGGCAGGGGTGGGGGTGGACTAGAAGACCTCCAAGGTCCCTTCCAACTCTGCTATTCTATTCTAATGTTCCAAAGGTGCTCTCCGCTCCCCCCCCAAAAAAAGGCAACTGGACTTTCTTGGTTTCCTTTCCTTGAAAACGTTTCGCTTCTTATCCGAGAAGCTTCTTCGGTTCAGGCGCTTGGATGAGAGGCGAAATGTTTTCAAAGTGGGGGGAAAAAAGCAAGAAAATCCAGTTGCCTTTCGGGGGGGAAAAAAATGCCCCTTTGGGGAACAACCACCACCTGCATGGGGGAGACTCTGCACAGGCGTATTCCCACAAACGTTCTCCCCAGGCCCCCCTTTTCCTCCTCTCTTGGGGTGCGGGAACAAGAGTCGGGATATTTTTTTGGAGGGAAGGGGGGGTTCCCGGGAAGCAAGTGGGATTAAAATAAAAAGCCTCAAATGGAGGTTTAAATAAGGCAGAAGCGATGCATCTCGGCCTTTCTCAAGAGCCCTAGAAGGCAAGGGCTGGCAGGGTCCCCTGGAGACCATCTAGCCCACCCCTCCTGCCCAGGAGTCCAGCAACGGTTGAGCTTGCAACGTTTTGGTTGTGCGGAAGACTTAAGTGTGAAAGGGCACAATTCTGTTTTTCCTCCTGTTGGAGCCCTCCTTTGGCATCTAGGTGCAGAAGGAGGGGGCACTCAGTGTGCGTGTGTGCGTGTGCGTTGCGTGTCTGTGCGTGCTTGTGCTGCAGCAACACAATGCTGACAATCTCTTTCCTGTGGCTACATGTGTGTAACAACCAGGCAGTTCTCGGAGCCCGTGGCCTGAAGGGAGAGAAAGGGGAACCAGCCGTCTTTGAACCTGTAAGTTTCCACGGTTGTCGGTGTGTTTGTGTGGGTGTGAGGGGGGGTTGTGGGGCAGGCAGCCTGAAACATTGGCTCTGTCCGCTCCCTTCCGCATCCACAATCCCAGCTTTGAATTTTCTCCCCTCCGATCTCTTTGGTCGCCTTTTGATCTCAGAATTCCAGAGGTCGTCCTGCCTCCCCCCAAGCCCCCCCCCCACTTGGGACAGAGATGAAGGCCTCCAGTGGTCTGGATGCTGTCTGGACTCCCCCCCCTCCGGCCGGCTTTGGCTGATGGGAAGGGAGAACGGCAAATCCTGGGCTTTAGGGGCAGGGATGGAGATCCCGGGGCAGGAAGGAATCTGCTGGGAAAGGGGCGGGGTCCTTCAACGGGGGTCAGAGCTGGGCTGGTGGGTGGGGGTGTCCTTTGGGGGTGTGTGTGCAGTTTTGTAATTGCCCTGGGGAGACAATGAGCAAATTGGCTTCCATGCAGTAAAAATTTATATTGCCCAACTCCCAGAATTCCACCCACCTTCAAGCGCCCAACATTGGGAACCAAGCCCAAGCCACCGGGGGGGTGGGGGTGGGAGGAAGGGGGAGGTTAGTGCCCAATCGTTGCAGGTCACTGCAGGGGGGGGTCAAAGGTCAAGATCAGCATCCCTTCCTGGCCCCCCTTGCGTCTCCCTCCCTCCCCCTCCCTCTCCTCCGGGTGGGTTGGGTCCCCGCTCCGAATCCTGCCCGCTTTGTGCCTCTGACGGAGGCTTCCCCAAAGGGAGGCTCCCCTGTGCCCCTCTTTCCCCAACAGAAAGAGGGAGGGGGTCTTTCCGCCTGACCTCCTTTTTATTCTGCAGGGGATGGTTGTGCCCGGCCGGCCCGGCCCCGAAGGACCCCGGGTAAGAGCTGCGGGCGATGGGCGATGGGAAGGGTGGCACAGGTGGGGCAGAGACGGCTGAAGAGACGCCTTCTCTCCCTCTCCGCAGGGCGCGAGTGGACCGCCTGGCACCCAGGGGATGCCCGGAGCTCCTGGCGACCCCGGAGAGCGGGTGAGTGGGGCGCCCCCTCCCCATTGGGGGGGTCTTGAAAGGAGCAGAGGGTGGGCTGGGGGTTGAGCATGTGCAGAGTTCTATTGTGACTCGCCAGAGGTCCCCGATTCCACCTCTTGGAATCACAGCAATGCCAATTGTTCCTGAGTGAAAGGAAAGGCCCGGGGATTATGGGGCTTTCCCCCCCCGAATAGCCCGCCTGGAAGGAGCCCGAGGTGAACAGCTGCTTGCCCCCCCACTTCCCCCTCCCCCCCCGGCTGCCTTCCAGCTGTGCTGAATTCAAGGTTTCAGGAGGAGGATGGGGATTGTAGTCCGGCTAACGCAGAGGGCACCAAGGGAGGCTGGAATTGACGTTCTTGCCAGAGGAGGACTCCTTCCCCCATGGGCCACTGCCAGAGGGATTGAAGTGCAGTTGGGCCCAGAGTTGGGGGGGGGGGATTTGTGTGTTCCGGCAACCTCTCTGCCTCCTTCACAGGGTCCCCCTGGACGGGCCGGATTCCCGGGGTCAGACGGACGTCCAGGGCCCCCCGGCACCTCCATGATGCTCCCGGTGAGTCAGGAAACGGAGGGCCTGTGTGGCCGGAGCTG